TATGAAAAGTTTTGAGTAGGCTAGGAATCTGACTTGAAAGACTGATCATGTCACACTCCGGCAGAGGCTCATGTCTTGGTATGTAACATTTGCTTAGAAAAGTCCAGATTATGGAATGAGTTCTGAATAGCCACAGCCCAGGGTATGTGAAGCAGCTCATGCAATGCAGATTTCTATAGTCATAAATAATTTTATTCGTGGGCTCTAAATAGTAATCTCCTAGAATCGGCTGGGAGCCCTGTGCCTTGCAAATCAGGGCCCTGATTGTTACTGGAACAAGGTAGTTATTAACACCGTAGCATTCTATTGTTTATAATGACAACCTAAAATTATATGAAAGTACTGTGTGATTTTGTTTTTTGTTCAAATATTGATTTCTGAAGATCCAATATAGAGAGAGATGTTGAAAATACCAGAAAGCTTCAACTGTCCGTGTGAAGTCCTTAAGTTTGTGAATGTCAGTTCATTAACACAAGATGTGCACTTCATTATTTCTTTTTATTTTCAGTTTTTCTTTAAATTCAAACCGGTTCGATTCCCATGAAAAACTATTTTTGTCAAGTACTATATCTGCTTTGCCCATCCCCTGTTTTGCTGAGTCCCATTGCAGCCTCATACCTGTGTTTGCTTCCTGATTTATACAAACTTTGTTTTGCAGTCCATTGTTTCATCAATCCTTCTTTTCTACTCCATTTTTCTTGCTTTTCTTTTCCCCCTCCTTTTTCTTTTTGTTCTTTTGTTTTATTTGTTTTAAATTTAAGTTGGAAAACACTCAGGATCGTCGAACATCTTTTGAGAAATTCACACGCAATGTGGTAAGTTTGTTGCCTCGGAAGACTAGTAAGCCTGATGGGACATCCTTCTCCCCTTCCCCTCACTGATCCCTACTTTCCCTTTTTGCTTCTCTAACCTGACAGTTAAAAGTGTATTCATCACAGTTTGTGAATTTTCCTGGGAATGACAGCTTTATAATGTGCTTTCATTGCAACCCCTCCTCCCTAGTCCCTTTCTCACTGATCTCAATAGTCACACATGGAGGAATGGACATTTGGGAGCCATGCTTTTTGCATTAGGAAGCATGAAATTAGTCAGAGTTTGGGTTTTTTTCTTCTTTAATTTTAGTAAATAATTGGTGATAACCTGCTTGATGTTGTTTCTTTTTCTGGTGCCTCCCAAAATACTAAGTCTAAAACAGTTGAATACATTGGATTTCCATCCTGTCTTCTTTTTATTGTACTAAAAAAAGACTTGGTCCCATTTTTTTAAATTGGGCACTGGGAAAAAAACACATTAATCATTTCTCCATCTTCCTTAACGTCTAACACAGCTTCTGCAGGACCAAAGAATTCATGCTGTTGATGTGCAAGGGTTTGATCGGGATTAATTTTCATGATGGACTACAAGAACAGATTTTTTTCTTTTCTATATTAATTTTTCAAAAGCTTATTTCTCGAAGGTAAAAAAAAAAAACCAAAACGAGGGCCGGTAGATATGTTGTGGGCATTCTTTTGCCACCTGCCTAAAGATCCACTGATTTCCTGATATGTGGGATTCTTTTTACTTTTCCGGTTTCTTTGGAATTATTCTTTTTACATTGTGAAAGTTCAAACTAAAGAATTCAACGCATTTATTTTTGTAGGGCAGAAACATCCCTATTTTTCCATGCCATAAAAACTGTACACCAACACTGAGGGCGAGCACTAACCTGTTATGAAAAGAGGTAGAAAGATCTTGGATTATACTCAAGTTCGTCTGCATTGTCTGTTGAATTGTGCAGGTGACGCTGCTGTGTGCGTGTGCATCTGTGGCTTTTTCTGTGACCTGGTTAGTGGAGCTGTGTGCGTTGAAATGAAAAATATGAGAGCTTTCAGCAAAGATCATGGTTTTTGTTTTTTAGTTTCTAGGGAAGGAGAAGCAGTTCTCAGAAACTGCCTCCCATATAATGAGGTTCAAGAGTATTGCCTCAAGTATTTAAAAAATACATATATACTTTCCAGTAATCAAAAAGAGAAACAAACACAGTGAAAGAACAAAGTTTTGTGAGGCTGTGGGAATATCTCACATTTTAAAACAAAACAGTAGTTCTTTAACTGCTTTCTTATAGGTAAAGGCTTCTTGTAATATGCTTTGAATCCACTGTAATCAGGAAGAAATTTGGATTCAATGGGACAAAGTCAGTAAAGGACACTAAAACTAAATAAACAGCCACAAAGGAAACTAACCCAATGTTTGAAACAAAAACCCCTATATTTTGCATGGTGGTGTTGCCATAGCATGTTGCAGTGTGATTTGTGTGTTGTCTAAGCAGGTTGGATCTATAAAGCAACATTGTCCATGATAACATTATATACCATAATTCCATTATAATTCTGTAGGAAGTTCCATATTAATAAAAAAGTCTATAAAAGAGAGTGCAGAGACTGGGTAACACATCTAGGACCTCTGAGAGCCAGGCTTTTTCCCAGTCACAGTGCCTGGCAAGCTGCAATGCCACATTTCTTCATGGCATTTTGAACAGCACATGGGTCAGGAATTGGCTAAAGATTATGTAAACAGGTGGCTATAAGGAGAGAAATAGCAAACTGCATATAGATGGGAGGAGAATACAGCACAAACAGGGAAAAAGTGAAGACAGATTGAGAGACACTGAAATCACTCCCAGAGCAGCATTATGGATAAACCAGCAGTTCTGGCCACAAACACTGGAGCATTATGCCCTGCAGCTATGCCTGATTTTCATCATGCCAATCTCAGGGCAGAAGTACCAGAATAACAGGATGCCAGAGATGCAAGACAGGCCTGATAAACCAGCTGTGAACTACAAATTGGAATGAGTATTCCTGGATGTGAAGCATTAGTACTTCTTCAGTAGAAGAGGGTGATTATTTTTTTTTCACAGAGCAAGCTATAAAATAAAATGTGTGGTTTTGCTTTTCCTCAAACTACTACCTGTTAATCTGGGTGGAGTCTGTCAAGTCAGGTCAGGTATGAAAGAAAAACGTGTCACTGCTAGATCTATATTCTCCATTAGATCAACAGCTCTGAGGCTTGCAAATTAATACAGAATGTCAAGATGTTCACATGCAAACCTTTTATCCAAGATGATTGAATTCATGTCAGCCACTTCCTCAGGACCCTTGCCACCTTGTTCTTCCACTCCTGTTCTTGGTTGTGTTGAGTTTATAATATGTAATTATCTACCTTGGTACAATGGTTCCAACCAGCAGGGATGAGGGAAACATTTCTCAGAATATCCTACAGTGTACTGATTAACTGGCTCAACTGTGAAATGAGGGACTGTGGAATAGACCTGTTCTACTGATTAATACAGAATGAAGGTGTGAAGTATGTCTTTGCAACCTGGATAAATGTTGCTGTCTCTGAATGATTTAGTAAAATGAAGATTACAGTTTCTATTCTCTGACAGTTTGCAATATTTAAACTAATTTAACTGGATTTTTTTCTCACATATCCAAGTGGGTTTGTATTGAACTAAATTAGACCTCAGTTTTTTCCATTCGAAGTGTTTAAAAAACCCAGTAACCTTGGTTGTGTCTAGGGACTTAATCTGAGAAGATGACCTTGTAATTCATAACCTGATTTGTTTGATGGAGACTCTAAGACGCTCCTGATCAATGTTAATTGAAAGTGGGTTATACTTGCTACAGAAAACATTTGTAAAAATAGAAAGTTTAAAAACTTTTTAAGGACAATCCCTCTGTACTATGCCTTGAATTACATGGAAATAGCCTATTATAATGAGTCATTATTCTAGTCTGATGAGCTAAAAATAGAAGTGGAGCTGTACACACAAAACCACTAGGCTCAGGTCTGCATTTCTTTGACACTGAAAAGTTTTCTTTCCAGAAAACTTTCAATAAGTTGGTGCACTTTATGAAAGCTCTAAATGCTCAGCTTAAAAACATTGACTATTTAGCTTGCTCTGTGGATTTTATAGTGCAAAATTGCTAATGCCTGCAGCAGACAGTATGAGTAGTGTTAGAAACAGGTGTGAATTCACATAAAATACACTGAAGTAATAGCAAACTGGCATTTGTTATATGTAATATTTATTACTGAACACTTTATAGTTTTCATCTGAGTAGTAACCCTAGCTATTCTTGGTTTGCTTCACTTACTCACACTCCCATGTATTGTGTGAAAATATAGAGCACATAAACTTCAGCACTATGGGAATGAAGCTAATGGATCAGTGTATTGCCTTGGAGTAACACTGGCAACCACAGGTGCCACAGCTCTGACTCAGAGGCATGGAGAGCACTGACACTGTGCTCTGTGCTCCCTGAGGGCTAGCTCAGCCCCTCAGCTTTCTCTTTGAGAATCATAAATGTTCAGTCACCTGCAGATCCCCAAGGGAGTAAGGAAGCTAAGGGTCAAAGTCAGGGAGCAGGAGGATCTCATTTCATGTTACAGCAGTAGAGAGACAGAAATCAGCAGTTTCTGTGGCATTTAAAAACTGAAATTCTTTTGAGAAATTCACAGGGGAAAAAAACCCTCACCATATTTTGAAAATAAAAAAGCTCAGCAAACTTCCTTTACCTCAAGTGCTAATATCTACATTACAGGGGAAAGAACGGGTGAATATACCCTGGTAATGTTGATGGGAACAAAGAGGTCCTTTAAGGAACAATTTTGTTTTAATTTCACTCACACATGCAGGATTTGTGACAATGGCAGACTAAGCAGGATGCCTTTGTAAGCACTAGAACCACGCTCAGCTGCAATTACCAGTCCGAAACCCTCAGAACAAAGGGATCTGATTTACAGGGGAGTGGACTAATTTAATTTCCACCCCATGCAAATATTCTTGTCCCACCAGGAACCAAGTTAGTGTAGCAAGAAGGTGTAGCCTGTCTCCTTAGAGCTGCCTGGGGGGAGACACTCCATCATCACATGTTGGTGCCATAGCTTCAGACATCACCATCAGTGTTAGCATTTTGTCTGTTGCTGCCCAACTACGGAGAATGCCAAAAATTGTGCTTCTTGGTGTAAGTTTGTGATACCTTATGGAAATACAGCCAGTACAAAACAGACCAAACTCAGTTCATATACTAAACCAGAGAGCCATCAAAGTATAATTATCTCCACTCATAACCTCATAAACAAGACTCCACTTAATTACTCTGAGTTTAAAACACATATCTTACATTACCTATACTCTTTCCAGTTGCCTTTTCCCACTTAGCTGGAAGAACATGCTGACCAGAGTCCTTTGACGTTTTCCCCCTCTAAACCAGTAACAATAGACTGTTCCATGTATGAGATGTGAAATGCAGAGGCCATTGAACAGACCACATTTTCACAGAGGCTCAGACCAATGTCACTTAACATGACATAGTGAATTATGACCTAGAGATGGAAATTAAAACTCATAAAAATAACTTCCTCAGTTCTTATCAGTGGTGGATAGACTTTCCAGGTGCTTGAAAAAGTGTAATCTCTTGTCATGTTAAAATCTGTCCCTTTATTGAGAAACAAGGCAAATAATATATCAATTCCATCTGTTAATCAAGAAATTTTTCTATATGAACAGACAAAACTTATGTACACAAGACTCTACTGTGTCAGACCAAAATTCCATTAGCCTTAAAATCCTGCTAAGGGATAGATTTTTCTCAAGCATAGCATTTTTGAATAGCTTCAATGCAGTATCAGCTGTGGGATCTCATTTTGAATTTACTTACAGGTTATTCCCAAAATTGAAACAAAAAAAAAAAAAAGTTAGTTAGAAGTAAAATAAATCACCAGGGTACTTACTTGGCAAATACAAAACAATAATCAAAATAGTAAGCATTTGTAGAAATGAAGGCTTTTTCCATTTCAGGAAAGAGATGTCTTATTGATGTTTGGCTAAAAAGAACTGATAAAATAATTGAAATTTTTATTTTGGATTAATAAATTGTCAAAAAAACTAGTTTTAGGGTTTTTTTAGGAATGATGCCCGGGGAGAAAAATCATAAAGGACATGCCATTGAGGACTGGCCTCCTTGTGCTGTTCTGTGGTGACTGGAGCTAATCTGTTGTGCTCTGTGCTGGAAGAGGTGAGCTGAGTAGTGCTTCACAGCCAGGTTCAGCTAAGGGAGGAGCCAGTGAGGGCTGGGGTCAGACCCAGAACAAACATATTAAAAATACTTGTCTTGTGCATTGGTCCCTTGGAAACCCACACTTCAGAGGGTTAGTCAAGTTCAAACTACCCCATCTGGCAAGATTTTGTAGATTAATGACAAACGAGAGCATCTGATCAGAAAAAGTAAAGATAAGTGTGAAAAGACAAAGAGATGGAGAGTGTCACTGGATTTGGAATCGGCCAAAACAGGAAAGTAGTCATTCAGCCACTGCCTCCTGTGCTCACACCCCTGCAGGAAACAGTATGGCCCTAATGAGAAGGGAACAGAGGGCTGCAAATCCCGGCCAGAGGCAGAAGGATTTGCCTGCACATGTAACCACTTAGTGCTGCAGCTGTGCTGACAACTCGTGCCCCAGATTCAGTAAATGCTAACCTCCTACCCTTCCTCACATCTGAAAGAGAAATATACTTGCACAAGTGGCTGAGAGCAGCGTCCTGTGCTGCTGTGGAAACTGAAGCAGAATCCTGACCCCCTGAGCAGTGCTAAAGCAATTCCCCTGTGCTAGTAAAGCGAGGGCTGCCTAAACATGGAAAGGGACTTACTGCTTTTGCCCCCATATTTCTCCAAATGTGCTCCTGTCAGGGGCTATTTAGACACTGGCTCTGCGTGTGGTGCATTGCAATGTCACTTGGAAGCTTTCCCTGTAGATACCAGCTGAGCTGCAGCATGCTGCAGGTGTGCCACGCATTAGCAGGTGGGGAAGAGTGAGAGCAATGAGGGTCAGTTCTCACTCCACATCTCATTTTGCTTGCAGTGGGGTTCATGCTATCTCTCTCCTCTCTCTCTTTCCCCATCAGATGCATGGAGCTCTCATTTCTAGTTCTACCAGTATTGTTCCTGGGGATTAGCATCTGTGCTGGCAATAAAGGAGCATAAAAAAAAACCATTGAGGTTGCATAGCAGAAAGGAAGGGAATTCATCTAAAAAGAAAATACATTATCTTCCTCTATGATGCATTTCAACTCCAGCCCCTATATACATTTCATATTGATTTCTTATAAGCCACATACGTACTGAGGTTGTTGCTGACTTGTTTGCTGGATTATTCGAGGTGTTAGTGTCATGCTGCATAAATGGGTCAGTCAGCACATTTGTATTTAGCAGCTCATACATCTGCACATGGCTTTGTAATTTTCCCCCTAAATTCTCTAGAAGTAAAGTAGGAAGGACAACTCTATGGTAAACAGTTAACACACTAAAGTAGGGACTGAACAATGAGGCCAGTTGATTTTGTATTCTTAGATATACTTATTCACTCGAGCTGCTGTGCTGCCTCCTCATGCTCTGACTCCCTGGTCAGGGTATGTGCCCAGGGTTTCATTTTGGCTTGTGTATTGTTAGTAAAATTCTTAAATAGTTGCAATTTGTATGTCCAAAGTGTACTAATACAGCCAAAAAATCCGAATTCTCTTTAGAATGTGGCTATATACTACTAAATGTTTATGGCAAAAATGTGTTGAAAATATTAAGGATCTCCTTTTCATTACTCAGACAAACAGCTACTACTTCTTCTGACTTTTTTCCCAATTCTTCTTTAATCTCATTAGCAAAGGAAACATTTTCTTATGTGTGACTCATAAGCTACACCTCTGAAAACTGGCTTGTTCCCAAAATATGTTCCCAAAACCAAATTTGGCTTATGAAAATGCTGTTAACATTGTATCTGAAAAAACTAGCTAGACTCAGCTTTTAAATTATGACCCACAATGGATGATCCTTACATCAGTCTGTAAATTGAATAAATCTGGAAATCTCCTAGAAGTGATAATTATGAAACTCTACCATAGAAAGCTAAAGTAAAAGTATACTCTGGAACACAGTTTGAAAGAAATATTCCGTAAAGCATAAAATCACATGTCCCTGCAGACCTAATAAGAAGATGGGATAATTCTATATATGGGGCTGCTATGGATTCTGTGTATTAAAAGCTTATTTTCCTAATCAGAGAACTTAGTATGATTCAGAATAAACATTGAAGAAGATCTCTTAAGAAGGGTGTATCTTCTAAGCTGTCACATTTCCAACTATAAGATAAATTAGAACTAGTAATGCCTTGAAAAAGACCATACGTTGTCATCGTTGTTGTTCAGATGGAGACTTCCTATCTCTAAGAAGTGCAATATTCTCTGAGACAGGGAGGGGACGTGAAGGAGAAGGCCACCCAGGAATTCCTGATCACTGTGGGGCTTAGGAGAAAAATCATCCAAAAACCAGCAACATCCAGGGAAAAAGTGATGTGGCATTCAGAAAAAAATTTGTCATGACAGCTTACTGTGTCTCTATGGGAAAATTCAAACAATATGTAGCAAAAAAAAGATTATACAAGTCAGATCAGCTTATAAGTGATCTTGGCCTGATTTTAGGTCAAAACTTACGAGTTTATGTGATATCGTAATTCATTCTTGAGATGTTAGAATTTGGTTATTGTTCATTTAAAAATTCCAGAGATTTAAAAACTCCGAAATACTCATTTGTTGCAAATAATAATAAAGAATTATTTCACAGATTTTATACCACAACAAGAGCTTATGCAGCTTTCCAGTGTGGTATTGAGCAAATTGTTTTAATATTTTAACTGGGTTATGCAGTTCAGTACTAAAGGGAACTCATACATATTTACAGAAAGTACTCAGGTCTGCAGATCTATTCAATTAAGTACAAATAACTTAATGACAGGCAAAGATAAGCATATGCTTGATGTTTTCTGATATTATGTCCAAGGCTGACAGTCATGAATCACCTAACAAAACACTTAATTTCAGACATGCTGTTTTAAATTATATTCCAATGCCACACTGCTGTTGAGGCTTTTTTGACTATTTAAAAAGATGTCTTACTGCAATATCTTACCTGTTGCATCAGAGGAAAACATAATTCAAGGGTTAATAAGTGTCAACAAACCATGAATTTAATATAGGTAGAAAATGACTGATGCCAGGAAGGACACTTTCCATCTTTTGAAGAAGCAAGTATTAATACTGTCAGATATTAGATATAGTGAACCTGATGGATGAGCACTCTAACACAACATTGCAAATCATGAGTTCCCTTCCAAATTATATTGCAGGGGAAGTATTCATCCTAATTTGTTCAACTTGTATTTCAGAGCACAAAGAATAAAATAGTTATTCTTTTATGAAGATCCACTCTGATATATTGCATTTGAGCAAATACTCAAGCCCAACTTACAGATCCCTGTGAGCATAAATTTGATTGATAATGACAATAGATATTAAATTGTGTAATTCCACTGAGTTATAATACAGCAGATGGCTTAACAATTTATTGATATGGCAGAATAAGTTAATTTACCATTTACTGCAGAAAATGAAGCATCTCTCCAAAGTTACAGTATTTGTTACTGTACTTTTCTTGAAATCAATTAGATATTTCTGAGTTGGTCACTTAAAATGAACAATGCAATAAATGTAAGTATTAAATAGCTACCTGGAGAGTTAGAGCCATTTTCTATTTAATGTTTTATGATATATTTGTGTTACATTGTCAGGGTATGCCTGTGGTATATTTGAGGAGTGATGTCAGCTTGCTGTGCCAGCTCTGCCTCTGTTGGATGAGAGCCACAGTAGGATGGCCCTTGGAGAGCTAACTCCTTTTATATGGCCACAGGAGAGCTGATTCCTGTTCTGTGGTTTCTGTCTGGCTCAGATAAAGCTCAAATCTGCCTGAAAAATACTGTGGTGACATACTCTGCACCATCATCTTCACTTTGTGGACCTAACTCTTGTGGGAGTCATTATACCTTATTAAAAGAACTGGCTAAAAAATTGAAACCACATTCCTGCAACAGGAGGAATGATGAGGAAAACAACTATGTGGAAATCCAAACACCTTCAAAGCAGTGTTATGCAGTCACATGTAATATACCTGACCAATGTTCCTTATAAATAGTAAATACGGTCTCAGCAAACCTATAGCTGTGTTCATGGAAAAGATGTTTTCCTGCCTATATGCAATGTGCCTCTCACTTTCTTACCTTAACTTAAAAGTAGCTTTGCATCTTCTGCGACAGAGCTACCACAGTTTGCACTTTCATCTCTGCAGCACAAGGCACTCTTGCTTGCAGTAGCCTTCTTCAAGTTCTGGGTATGACCAACAGCAAAAACCTCAGCATCAGTTTCTCATCAGCCAAAACCAATCTCATTCCAAAATGGCCTTTAAATTTGCTGGCTTGTTCAGTGAAACTGGCTGGCTGGCTGGCAGTGCAGGTGTTTAAGCATAAGGACTTCCTGGGGTTTAAGATTTGACAGACTCCAGTTGGTGCCCCTAGTTATTTGAGAGTGATGTGGCAACACTGAGTGGTTGCTGATGAACAGGTTTGCAGTGATCATGCCTCTGTTTTCTGTTTTTGTTTTTTTGTTTTTATCTTTTCCTCAGGGGAAATCGCTCACATCAAAGAGGTTAACCAGTCTAGTGCAGTCCTACTAAAAGGATCACCTTGTAGCATGGAAGCAGACTCAAATCATTATACATACTTTGTAGCTCACTGATTGCCTGACTCAGAGGACAGTAGAACAAGATGTTGCATGAGCAAGGACCTGACTTGTTTTCTTTTGTGTATACTAAGGCATTACAGACTCCGAGGGACTCTCTAGCCTTTCGATGCCTCCATTTCGAAAACTGTCTGCTCACTTCCTCCTTCATATCAAGCTGGATCTGTGTCTTTTTATTTTCTGCAAGCTCAAGTACAGTGAAAAAAAAGCTTCTGCTAGGCACAGTTTATTAAAAAAATACGTCAATCAAAAACTGGAATAAATGTAAAAAATGCATATATTAATAAATATACATATGGCATCACATTTATTGCACAATAAATTAGCACAGAAGGTTTCATTTCACTGATGTATTCACATTGAGAAAGAAAGCCTGTGTCTTTGTCTGTTGTCTGTATATTCTCTGTTAATGTTTCTTGCATTTATTTTTATACCATATTTAAAAAAAAAAAGAACACCTTTTACTCCAGATGTATTAAAGTTGATCCTTTCTCTGTAAATTTGTGTATGTTTATATTGTTGTTTTATCTTTCATTAAAAGATGCAGAATCTCTTTCCTTTGGGAAGTTTGAGATTTTAATATTGAATCTGAAGATTAGTCAAGTGCAAAACGATCCCCAAAAGTTACACACTTTGTACTTTCTAAAAAGTGACATAAAACGGCATTTTCTTTCTCTCAGTGACACCTAATCAAACACACTTTATTGATAATCATTTACTTTTTCTTTTCTTTTTATCAAGCTAGCAGCAGAGAGACCTTTCCAGCTTGCTCATCATCGCATAAGCAAACCTTTCTTTAAGCTAGACCTGTTCTGTAATAGTGTGACCTGCACAGCGATTCAGTCACTACCCCAGTCCAGATTGACTGAACTGTATTTCCTAAGGAAGGACATGAACAAAGCTCGCTGAGAACACAAGTGTATACTTGCTAAATCAGAAGGACAGTGTTTCTTCTCGCTGTGACTTGTCATACAATGCAGCATTTTAAGCTGAAAAGGTAGTGGTTTGGGAGTGCTAAGGATACAGTCTGTAGAGTAAACCTCTGGTAGTACTGCAGGTGGCTGTCATTTTAATTCAAGGCCTCTGTTTGGGAGTGCTGTTGTATGTCCACTGCCAAGGTTACTCACACAGAGACCTGTTGACAGGTTTATGAGCGCATGTAGATGTTGCCCATGAGACAGCAGATATGAAGCTTCTGAAGCTAATCTGAGCTGGAACCAGAAATCTCTCCTTGGCCTAACAAATAACACTTTTGACTGATAGAGGTGATGTAAGGATAGTCGGCAGTATAGCTCTGAGTAGAAAAGCAAAGAAGGGAACTAAATCAAATGACAAAATGGTGATATCTCCAGGGCATTGTAGGGTGCAATAGGACAAACAAGCCTTTTTAGCAACGCACAGGATAGACTCAGGACAACCAACTCTAGTACCATCTGTCATGCTGACTTTGCTTTGATATTGAGAAACAGGAATTTTATTTCAAAGGGATTACCAACCCTAAAAATACACACACACACACACCCCACACAAAGTGGGGCAGTCGTAGATACAAGCAGACAATGAGTTTGAATGCATTAATACCAGGGTAATCTCATTTAACATCAGATACCTACATGCATTGCTGCTGCTAGGGACAGGACTTGGGCACAGAGCAGCTATGGGCAGAAGGAAGCTGAGCTGCTCTCTGCAGGGAGTGCTCACTTCTCCACTGGCTCTGTCAGTAGCCTGATGCAGCATGTTTAAAGAGGCAGTCTGAGTGAACCCAGTATAAAATGCATTATAAATCATCATGACTGGCTGTTCCTCATGTTTTGCTCAGTTGAGGTTTCCCGAGATTTGGGATTTCTGTTTGTTTTTTGTTTTCACATGCCACTGTGTTTCTGGTTTCTAGCTAGGATGACAATCTCTGCTTTAAAGTGTCTCAGTTTTTGTTAGCACAATTCTACTAAGCTTTTATGGGAATGCCCCATCAGAGCTTGATTTTATCAAGAGCTCCATCTAGGTCAGCTCAAAATATTCACAACCTAAGGAAGTCAGATAAATCTTAATAAATAGCCATGTTGAATCCCAGATCTTAAACCATGAGGTTTAATTTTACCACAGAAATGTGAGCTCTGAGGCATGAACTTGGGGCCAGGCAATCCATGGAAATTTGAGCTCTGTTTCACTTCTCAGTGCCAAATAGAGATATTTATTTCCAAACTCCTGCTGCCACCAATTGCATCAACTGCTATATTTTCTGCTTTGCCTTAGTAGTTAACTAATTGAATGCCTGCTTTAAAGAATCACTTCCTTCAAATAGCTCACATTTCAAATTCAAGCATTAGGCATTTCATGCAACTTTAGCCTAAGAAATTTGTTTATTCAAAATCACTTTGCAACACCACCTGTCCAATAAAAAGATGTGGAGCATTTGTATAATGTAAGACCAGTTTAATAACTGAAATAATTTATAATAATAATAATAGTAATCATAATAATAAAAATGCAGAAGAGGAATAAAACCCAAGACAGACAAGTGATGCACAATACAATTGCTCACTACCTGCTGACCGATGCCCAGCCATCTCTGAACAGTGATTGGTCCCCACTGGCCAAGTCCCCCAGTTTATATACTGAGCATGATGTTCTATGGTATGGAATATACCTTTGGCCAGCTTAGATCAGCTGTCGTGGCTGTGCTCCCTCCAAGCTTCTTGTGCCCTTGCTCCCTGACAGGGCATGGGGAACTGAAAAATCCTTCACTTAGGGTAAGCCCTGATCCACAACAGCGAAAGCATCAGTGTGTTATCAATGTTTTTCTCATACTAAATCCAAACCACAGCACTGCACCAGCTACTAAGAAGAAACCGAACTCTATCTCAGCTGAAACCAGGACATTTCCTTTCGATAAATATGAAGTCTGTATTGAATGGCTGTCTTTCCCTGTATTTGCACAGTATTTAAAACAATGTCCGTAAAGTAAAACCAGGCATTACTAATAAGGATGTCAGAGTAGTCAGGGAGATATTTTAAGGTTTCATTTGAGCTTAGTTCCAAGTAATACAAGTCCACTGTTACACGAGTGAATTTGACCCAAACAAGAGCAGTCCTTCAACTTCGTAATTTTTAAAAGGCTTATCTGAAACCTTCTGATATTGCACCTCATCTCTGTTATCTGCCAGTGATATAATACTGGGACTGGAAACTCCAAACAGACACAAACTTCCTTTTACTTCCCCACAGAAAAAGCTAAATGTTTGTTTCAAAATTTGTACAAAGATTCACTTCAAAGAATTAAGATTAACTCAGATTAAGGCATGTTTGTACAATGACCAAACAGCTGAAGTATGACTTTAGTTACACAACAATGTACCCATTAGGAATTCTAGTGAGGCCACAAGTCTGCTGAGGAAAAAAGAGCCAAGAGAGAAAGCCAATCTGAAGAGACCATATCTCTTGTGTCCTGGGCAAGAGCCATTATTTAGTGCCTCCTGGCTCTGCCCAGGAAGATGAAAACACCCTCGTGGGATTTTTATTGCAATATTCCTTAAATTAACCACTTGGAACTTGGAACTTCCATCTGAGAGTTGGGCTTCATCAGATAGTCTCTTTCCCCATGAATCCTTGTCCATGAAACAGCTCTTAAGCCTACAGGGGAAAGAAGTGTTTGATGGCGCTGCTGCACATTTCAGGTGGTTTTGTGCTCCCAGACCAGCCTGTGAAGGAAAATGGCCAGTGGGAGAGGCAGAAGCTACCCTGGCACCTACCTGACAAGAGCAAAATATTCACCCACTCTTCTGTAAGGTGCTATTGAAAACTGTCCTTCAATCCTACAAAATGAGAGAGGGAGGAAAAAGGTCTTACAGTGATGAGATGAATTGCAAAATGCTGAGCTGAACAGTAGTGGAGGCTGGCCAAAAATTAATGATCTGAAAGTGACTACAGGACTAAGAAATGGGAATTAATTGTGGTGACCAGAACAGGACTGACAAGGGAGGAGAACTGGAAAGCTGAGTAATTAGGAGCAAGAGAGGCTGAATGCAGCTGGTGCATTGCCAGCCTGTTGGCCACAGCCATGCTGAGTTGGAGTTAAAACCCAAAAAATCAGGCAAGATCAACTGTGACTAGTTGTTAAAAACCCAGCAACAACATTTTTTCAGCTAGAAAGCAATAATACATAAGAAATATTACCAAATATCTAATGTTGCCTTTTTCAAATTGCACCCCTAATATTTTTTGAAATCACGAGACATAAATGCCAAACAGTACCCTAGGAAATAACAAATAGGAGGGCAACAACCACTTCCAGAAAACAAGACCTATAGAAGTGCATTTAGGATGTTGATTTATTAAAGAAAAAAATTAAAGCCAAAGCAGACCACTAAAGTGAGAAAAGGCTGTTTTCTTCAGGTAACTGGAATGAGGAGTTGGGAAAGCCAGTGACTTATATGTGGCTTGTCCAATTATTTATGTTTATGGATTGTGATTAACAGTTGTTTGAATCTAGATTTAAAAATTGCCGTATGTTTAATGTCCCTTCTAGCTAAAGATGTTGTGCATAGAACTAACACTGGACTTTTTAATGTAGGTGCATAAAACACATGAATTTTACTAAAAGAAATTTAATAGCTACAGGGACTTAAACAAAATAAGGTTTTAATACCAATATGTTCAAGGGAAATTATCAACAAATTCTTTGAACATATTCTGTGTCCACAATTCATTTAATCAAGTTGCTAAGTGGTTGTGACTCACACCAGTCTGCCTTTTGATCTGACTGTGCTGAACAGATTGCTTTTGTCTCCTGTGAGTTGAAGATAGGCTGAAGTCCCAGTATCAAAGAAGTGAAGAAGAGAGGATGATTCCTCTGAGGCCAGATTCCCTCTCCTCATGCTGTTCCAGACTGTGGAGTCCTCAAGTGACATGTGTACAAATAAATGGGTTTTGTTTGTATAGACATCAACTTGAGGGCTGCAGAGTCTCTCCAGACAATCATTATCTCTGCCACTACAAAGTTTTTCCTAATATCTAAACTCAATCTTCTTTGCTTTGGTTTGTCCCTGTATTTTTGACCAGGCTGCTACAGTCACTGTAATAATATGCTCTAAATGTTAATGGAGATTGCAAAATTGTGGCCTCCTGTGGTTTTCAGACTGGTGTTTCCTGAAGTGTTGAGTGACTTCATTGCTCTCCTCTGGGCTAGGAGGTCTTACAGTTTTCTTGGAGGACGGTACCCAGCACAGGCTGCAGGATTCCCACCAAGGTTTTACAGGAGGAGGGCAGAGGATTACTGCTGTACTTCTGCCTGTGCACACAACTATGGCACTTGCCCTTTTTGCAGTAGATGGCCACTCCTGAATTGTGCCAGCTTATGTGACACAGCGATGCCCAGATCCTTTGCAGTCTAACATAGATGGTTGTCCCCCTTTGTGTGTAGCTGACTCTTCTTGGGTCAGTGAGGCATCTTGAGTCATCCATTCAGTAACATCCTCATTTTTCAGACCATCTTTCTCTTTTCCCATAGTCACTTTGTTTTGTTTTGTTTTGTTTTGAATTCTACCTGTGCAATAC